TGTGAACATTCTAAACTAACACGAGTCTCATTAAGTGTCCAGTTTAAGGGTCTTACACAAAAACATACCACACAACATGAATCAAACATGCACTTTATTCATTTACACTAAATGTCAAAAGTACATCAAAACTTATTGGAGCTAAGGGCATACAAAACTGTCTAAAATAAATATGGGTGGATCTAGGATTTGGATCAATAGATAAGATAAGGGATTATCCTTATCCACTTAAAGAGTTCAGATCCAAATAAAGATTTGAATTAAAGGAACTCCTAATTTGATTAGGAAGGTCGATCTTTATCTACAGATAAGATAAGGGATTATCCTTATCACTTAAAGAGTCCATATCCAAATAAAAGATTTGGATTAGGAAACTCCTAATGGGATTAGGAAGTTGTCTCTTTAATGCTATAAATAAGAGAGCAGGGTGAACCTCCAAAGACACATTAGCTGAATACAGAGAGAAGACAACACAGTTAGACTGCTCTTGCCTTCTGCTCTTTCTCTTCTTGCTCTTGCCGCCCTACCCTATTCGATCTCCAGTGCTTGGATTGGATCAAGATTTGACATTGATATTGCTTCATGCAAAAGAAACAATTTATAACCTGTGCTCGTTGTCCCATTCGATTTTTGCTGAAAAATCGCTAGTTCTTGGTGAAGAACTACCTACTGATCCTGCCACACCCTAAGCTGTGTCATCTTCAGTGGAGGGAGGATTTGGTATTCTCATTGGGCGTGAACACCTACGTTGGGAGGAGCATTCTTGCATGGATTCCGTATCAAATTTGGTCAGGTTTGATTACAAGAACGAAACTTGAAACTACAGTTTTCTAAATTTGGAATAGGATTCCTGGATGAGAGTAAAGAAATTTTTGAAACTTCCCAACCATCCTGCAGGATTCGGCCATCCATATGATGGATCTCCCATCCCTTCAGTACTATCAGAGCTAGGTTCAATTCTTGAACCAAATTAGAGCAAATCTGAATCTCTGCAAATGGGCAGAAGGTGTTCTACCCGATTTGCGCAATAAGCGCTTTTTCTGCGAATTGG